TACAATTGTGTGTGTGTGTGTGTGTGTGTGTGTGTGTGATGCACGTTCACATGAGTGTGGCGAGGGAAAGTGTGTGCATGTTTGCATGTGCATGTGGAGACCAGAGTTGGTCTTCTTCAGTGAGAGACCCTGTTACAGAGAACGATGTGGAGAGTACAGATACTGTTAGAAGCCAGAAACCCCAGGATCTGGAATTACAGGTGGTTGTGACCTGCCTGATGTGATAGCTGGGAATTGAACTTGGGTCCTCTGGAAGAGCAACAGGTGCTCTTAACCACTGAGTCATCTCTTCAGCCCAGTATCATCTCTAAGGTTTAACTTTCCTGTTTGTGAAAACTATAAGACTTTACAGAAAGATTAGCACTACAATGGATATTATTTTTGCTTCGCTTGCCTGTTTGCTTTTGTCTTTTGAGACAGGGTCTCCCTATAGCCCCAGCTGACCTAGAACTTGGTATGTAGATCAGGCTGGCCTTTATCTCATAGAGATCTGCCTGACTCTACCTCCTGAGTGCTGGTATTAAAGGCACGTGGCACCATGAAGGCACATGGCACTATGACCAGCTGCCTTTGCAATTCTGCTTAAGTACATCACTGAAACCACAAACAGTCATAAGAAGAGTGCTGTACAGTAAACTGGAGTGGACTGTGCAGAGGAACTCATTTTCACATTTTAACCTATTCAAAAGTAAGATGCTGTTCAATACTGGACACACCTTCTTCTTTGCTAGGTGTTCTATGGGGCTGCAAGCCAGCTGGTTCTTCGTTCTCTTGGTATCTCTGAGTCAGTCGAGCAAAAAGAGCTCTCTGCACTGCAGGAAGGAGGCCTGTAGCAGGCAGAGGGCAGTGGCCGATCATGCTGCTGGTATCTGGCCCGCTCCCAAGGCCAGGTGAGTCCTGAACAATGGGAGGCGGCTGCTGTGCAAACTCTTCATGCCATACCTCATCTATAGACATAACAGAAGAGATACTGTGAGCACAAACTCCAACAAGATCTAAGGAACAGAGCTCTAATAATCATCACTTTGGATTCCTAACTTATTATGCAATATTTAAATACTTTAAAATTTTGTCTAAAGTTCTATTGTTCTAAAGGTATTTTTGCCTGGCATGGTGCCACATGCCTTTAATGCACTTAGGAGGCAAAGACAGGCAGATCACTGTGAAATTGAGGTCAGCCTGGTCTACATAGTGAGTTCCAGGCCAGCTGGGACTACAGGGACAGCCTGTCTCAAAAAAAAAGTTGGTATTTTAAAATATTATCTAGAAGTTTCTTGCTTCAAAAGTTAGCTAAAGTTCTGTTTCTATAGCTTTAAATACATTGAAAGTATAGCAAGTTTTCAACTTCACCAATTTTACCAAATATTAAAAGCCATAATTTGATAAAAATCAGGATTAAATATTTTAAATTAGAAATGAGTTAGTTCTAAAAGAAAACTTACCACAATTACTCGATGGCTGAAAATTCTGAACAGCTTGCTGTAAGTAGAATTCATCATAAAAGTCAGCTGGGTTTTGCAGGGACTCATAGCTGGTATTGAGCTGCACTTCACCAGGCATTTGCTGGTAGGATGAACCTGGAGAGCAGTGACTCTCTCTAGGAACTTTCATCACATGTCCTGGATAGCCTGGGGAATGATAAGCTCCACCCATACTCAGTGGTGTATCTGGCTGAACAAGTCCTCCTGCTTGACTGTGAGGGCTTACAATTTCCAGTGGACCAGGTGGCAAAGGTGGGCTGTGTTGCATTGGCAGACCAGAAGTTCCTGCACATGGGTTATGTCCAGGGGAGCCTGAGTGCCTCGCCGGACTATCACATCCCTGAGACACATTAGGTCCAGGAACTGGACTTGACTCAGAACTGTATACATGTTGTGGACATGGATTGTTTTCCTGAAACTGTGGTCCTGGTGGTGAGGCACTGTCATAAAATGCTGGTGATCTTTAAATAGAAAAAACAGTATTTCTCAGTTCAAATGAAAAGAGACAACAAGAATGCTATGCTCCTATAGGGTTAGTGTGATATTTTACATCTGATTAGAATTCCATGTACTTAACTGTTCATTCCATATCACCTACAGGTGGAAATGCCTTGCTGTCATTTCAGCTAGTTTTCCTCACTGCCTCGCATTATGAGCTGTTTGGGAAATACAAAACACTGCAAAGGTAAATAAAAATCACCCTGAAAGCCAGGCGTGGTGGTGCCACCCATTTAATCCCAGCACTTGTGAAGCAAAGGCAGGTGGAGCTCTGTGAGTTCTAGGCCAGCTGGGCTACAGGGAGAACCTGTCTCAAAAACACCAGAAAAAAAAATTCACCTTGAATTCCAGCACTCAGAGATAACTTATTTTTTAAACTTCTTTTTAAAACTTTTATTTATTGTTTTTATTTTATGTGTATGTGTGTATTGCCTGCATGTAGGTAAGTGCACCCATGTCATGCAATGCCCGCAGAGGTCAGAAGAGGATGTCGGATCCCCTGGGACTAGAGTTACAGACAGTTGTTAGCTGTCATGTGGGTGCTGGGATTCGAACCCAGGTCTTCTTCAAGAACAACCAGTGTTCTTAACCACTGAGCCATCTCTCCAGCCTCAGAGATAACTTTTTAAAAATATTTTTTCAGGAAAATATATTTTTATTTATTTTTATTTTATGTGTATGAGTGTGTTGCCTACATGTATGTAAGTGCACCCATGTCGTGCAGTGCCCATGGAGGTCAGAGGGTGTCAGATCCCCTGGAATTGGAGTTATGGATGGCTGTTGGCCACCATGTGGGTGCTGAGAATCGAACCTAGGTCCTCTGCAAGAGCAGCCAGTGATCTTAACTGCTGAGCCATCTCTCCAGCCCCAGAGATAACATTTTTAATTTTTTCTCTCCTAGTTTTTTTTTCTAGGTACACACAGACTTTTGTACAACAGGCATGCAGTTCTTTATTATACCTTCTAATGGATTATTATTGGATTGCTGGCATACAAAACTTTGGTTTTGAGGGTTGATCTGACTTATGGACACCTTATTTATTATTTCTAATAGTTTTGCCAATTCATTTTTTGGCTTTATTGGGAGAACCTACCCATGTCTAATCTTTACACCTTTCACACCCTTCTCCTATTTAATTGACTAGGAGCTGATATATGATATTAGAAAAATGGTGGGTATACCTGTCTTTCTTCCTTTTTTTGGATATAGAGTTCTACTATATAGACCAGAGTGGCCTTAAGCTCACAATTCTCCTACCTCAGTCTTCCAATTCACAAGTTCTCACATTACAAGCACACACACCACCATGTCTGCTTTTCTTCTTAACTTTAGCTGAAATAGTCTTACTGGTTCACATTAATTGTAATGTTTACTCTAGTTTCTTGTTTCTCATCTGCTCAGATCTCATTGCTTCCTTGGGCACTCAGGGTTAAAAAATAATAGCAGGGGCCTAGGCACATATACCCTAAGAGGTGAGAAACAGGGCTAGAATAGAATTCCTAGAAAATATAATCTGGATGCAGCTAATCCAGATGTTTTCCTCTAACAGTCTAAGAAAATTCTTTCAAAAAGAACTGAATGTATTAGAGATAGAGCACCAACAATTGGAATATTACTGATAAAAATACAAGCTGGAGGAAGGAATACCAAATCCATCCATCTGGCAGTGTCCCTAGGGTTATTCTGTGGAGAGGTTTTTTAAATTGCACAAAAATTCTTCCGAGAAAACCACTGATGGCAGGAAGTAGAGCGGAGGATCAAAGAGCAAGGGGGAGCATCAATCCCAATACATGCTGGATAACCGCTATCTCTGCCTAAGTTTAACTTCATGATTTACTATGGACTACAATTTAGTATCTTAACGCCAATTTACATGGGAAAAGCGTGGCAATTTTGAAGGTTTTAACTTACTTCTTCCCAATTTTATGTGCTAAATCCACAGTAGGTTTTACAACTATTTCAAAAAGAGATGGAATTTTCTTGAAATCATCAGAGAGATCAGTCTCAAAATCATCTTCAGGATCAGAACAGGGAAAATGCTCTGATGGGGTTGGCAGAAGCCCGACTCCTGGAGGTGGCTTGGGGAGGGGAGCTATGCCATGCTTTCTAAGCTCTTCCACTTCTCTTTCATCTTCATTTGTAAGTTCTTCATCAGCATTCAACACCTAAACAGTGCAAAGGTTACTATTTCAGAACAGGCTTTCTGTCTCACATTTACATCTGTACAGACTTCAGTAAGCTTTTGTTAACAGAGTTTAGATGGATCAGAAATTGGTAATTATTTCAATACACAGAATGAGGTTCAAAGTGGTTTTGAGGCAGGCACAGAAGACACTCTACCCAGAGCCGTCTGATTTCTGATTTGGGTTGCGCGCGCGTGCGTATACACACACACACACACACACACACACACGTAGTACTGCACTTGGCAGCCTACTTCCTTTACCTACATGTATGATGCTCACATACCCATCTCTAAACAATGCATCTAGCAACCTTGAGACCTCCTAGAACTTCTATCTGCATTTTCTACACATACTATCATCTCTGAACAACAGTACAGATTTCTCTGTCCCTAGTAACAATCAAATTTAAACAGTTTCTATTCAAGTGTATAACCAATGCATGATATGAAGAATATAAAGGACTGATCCTGCCTGAACTGGTTTTAGGTGCATGTGTAGTAAGGATAACTGGGGCCTTCTAGTGAATTTTTAGCAAGAGTCCCCTATTTACCATTTTATTTATTCCTATTCATGCCTGCCCTGACATTATGCACTCGAACTCTCTGTAACTGTTAGCTCAAAAAAACTCTTCCTTCTATAAGTTGCCTTGATCATGGTGTTTTATCACGGCAACAGAAAAATAATACACCTTATTTTCAGTTCTTTGGCTTCTTTGGATAAGAGGCCAAGGATCCAAAAATACCTGGCAGTTTTGGGTGTTGCTCAAAGTAAATTATTTCTTTTAGTGTCAGAAATACAAATAAAAGCAAAACACCCCCAATTCCTAATCAAATAATTCTATTTTCTAGCACACTATATTAACAAAATATAACTATAAGAATTCCATGATTTCTTAGCAAATTTATAAAGTAAGTATTCTTTATAAAATATGACTTAGCTGGGCGTGGTGGTGCATGCCTTTAATCCCAGCACTTGGGAGGCAGAGGCAAGCGGATCTCTGTGAGTTCAGGGCCAGCCTGGTCTACATAGTAAGTTCCAGGACAGCTGGGGCTACAGGGAGACCCTGTCTCAAAAAAACCAAAAAAAAAAAAAAACCCAAAATATGATTTAGGTCAAATGACTCTGAGGAAAAGAGCTAACAAATAAGGTGCAAAAATACTACTTATGGGACTGGAGAGATAGCTCAGTGGTTAAGAGCACTTAGCTGCTCTTTAAGAGGACCCAAGTTTGATTCCCAGAACCTACATGGCAATGGCAGCTAGCAACCATACATAACTTCAGTTCCAGGGGATCTGACATCCTTTTCTGACCTTCGTGCACATTTCTTGACACAGGTGCACATACATACATGCAGGCATAACACTCATACATAGAAAATAAAATTAATAAAAAAATTTTTTTGTCTTTTTGAGATAGGGTCTCCCTGTAGCCCCAGCTGTCCTGGAACTCACTATGTAGACCAGGCTGGCCTTGAACTCACAAGACCTGCCTACCTCTGCCTCCCAAGTGCTGGGATTAAAGGCATGTGCCACCACACCCCACAATAAAATATTTTTTAAAATACTACTCATGGGAGAGATGGCTCAGTGGTTAAGCACACTGGCTGCTCTGGTAGAAGACGCAGGTTTGGTTCCCAGAACCCACGTGGCAGCTCACAATTGTCTGTAACTCCAGGTCTAAGAGATCTGATGGCCCTCTTCTGACTTCCATAAGCACTGCGCGCGCACACACACACACGCAGGCAAAACACTCATACACATAAAATAATAAAATCTTTTTAAAAAGACTACTCACTTTGTCAAGAAGTTTTTTTGTTTCTTTAGTCAGATCATCGTGGGAAAATTTACAGTTGTCTCCTTGATAACACTTTGCTCCACTATGATAGAACTTACATGGAAATTCATGTAAACTAAAATATTAAGGAACAAAACGCGTAAAATCAAGGATCATTTTGTATAGACATACATGTATGTGTGTCTGTGTGCATGTGTGCATGTACACATATGCTTGTGTATATGGAAGGCAGTGGTTAATACCTGGTGTCTTTCTCTATCATTCTCAATCTTAATTTTTGAGATACTGAACTCACTGAAGCTCACCAATAGATTACACTGACCAGTCAATGGGCTCTAGGGATCCATCTGTCTCCATACCACACAACTACGCCTAGAGAAGCATGCCTCAGGGGCTGGAGAGATGGCTCAGAGGGTTAACAGCACTGACTGTTCTTATAGAGGACCTGGGTTCAGTTCCTTGCACCCACATGGTGGCTAACAGCCATCCGTAACTCCAGTTCCAGGGGATTCAGCACCCTCTTCTGACCTCCACAGGCCCTGCACAAAATAGGTGTACCTACCTACATGCCAGCAATACACTCACACACATAAAATAAAGATAATAAATATTTTAAAAGGCAAGCATGCCTTGGCACCAAGATTTTATATAGGTTCTGGCAATCCACTCAGGTCCTCACGCTGGCACAGCAAGCACTTTACCAACTAAGCCATTTCTCCAGCCCTAAGATCTAATCTTTTAAAAAATACTTTATTATTTTTATTTTATGTGTATGTGTGTATTGCCTGCATGTATGTGAGCGCACCCATGTTGTGCAATGCTGCAGAGATCAGAAGAAGGCTTCGGATTCCCCTGGAACTGGAGTTAAGGGCGGTTCACAGCCGCCATGTGGGTGCTTGGAATTGAACCCAGGTAAAAGCAGTCAGTGCTCTTAACTGCTGAGCCATCTCTCCAGCCCCAAGATCTAATTTTTTAAAATCCCAAACATATAACTGTTATAAAGGCGATTAAGTTCCAGATAGCTGCTGTACAACAATGGACCTACTATAGTCAGTATTTCTGTATTATACATTCTTTTTTTAAAAAAAAAATTTTTTGGTTTATTTATATTTTATATGTATGAGTGTTACACCTGCACATATGCAAGTACACCTGTGTCATGCAATACCTTCAGAGGACAGAAGAGAGTGTCTGATCCCCAATGGATGGTTGCTAGCCATTATGTGGGTGCTGAGATTTGAATCAAAGTCTTCTGAAAGAGCAGCCAGTGCCCTTAACCACTGAACCATCACTCCAGCCCCCCCATATTATACATTCTTAAAAAACTGTTAAGAGAATATATCGCATATTGTCTTCTATCAATACAACTCTACTAATGTCTACTGTACTGAAGTTCCTATCATCACATCAAATAGTTTATTTTTAAGATTCAATATTTTAATTATACAGAAACATTAAAATATTTAAAAATTCTCTTATTGTACTACATATAAATGTACCTTTTAAAAGAAAAGGCATTGAGGCTGTAGAGATGGCTTAGTGCTTATGAACACGGGCTGCTCTTGCAGAGGACCTGGGTTCAGTTCCCAGCACCTACATGGTGGGGAACAACCATCTGTAACTCTGGTTACAGGGGATTCAATGCCCTCTTCTAGCTCCTCAGGCACTGTATGACATGATGCACTTACACACAAACACACAGGCAAAACACTCATATGTATAAATTTTAAAAAATTCATAATGCTATAGAAAATATTGCTGTATTTTCATTATGTAGGTCCTGTTATTCCCCACAATATAATAAAATATTCAGAACAAATTGTATAGTCAGAATTTATATCTATGGAGAAAATAATGAGGTTTGACATGTTATGTTAAAAGTGAAAATCCCAACAATAAAAGCTACAGACTAATTATACTTACATTTTTAGAGACAAACTTCTAAGGAAATATAAAACTTGTAAGGATAGTGAAAGTCGACTGTGTTCAGGTGGCAATACATTCTGGGATATCTGCATGGTTTTAAAACAGGCTGACAGCCGGGTGTGGTGGCGTATGCGGTCAGTCCCAGCACTCAGGAGACAGGCATGTGGCCAGCCTGGTGTACGTAACAAGTGCCAGGGCAGCTAGTGTTTCAGGGAGACCTTGTCTCAAAAAGACAAACAAACACCCAAAAACAGGCTGACAAAGTCAAGGGAGAATACTATCATTCTGGCCAATGCAAAAATGAAAAATTCTTTTTTAATTAATAAAAGGTTGTAAAAAGCTGGGTGTGGTGGACTATGCCTTTAGTTCCAGCAATCAGGAGGCAGAGGCAGGCAGATCTCTTTGAGTTCCAGGCCACCCTGGTCTACATAGTGAATTCCAGGCCAGCTAGGGCTACAGGGAGACCCTGTCTCAAAAAGAATGAAAAAAAAAGTTGTAAAAGATACTTATCTTGATTTCTTTTTTTAAAAAAATCTATCTTAAAATGAAAATCACAGCTGGGCATGGTGGTATACACTTTTAGTACTGGCACTTGTGGGGCAGAAGCAGGAAGACTCTGAGTTTGAGGTCAGTATGGTTTACATAGCAAGTTCTAGTTTAAGCCTATACAGTGAGACCCAATCTAAATTTTTAAAAAGAGCCACAAAGCAAAATATAAGGATATTATCACTAAAACGCATATTACGCCTGCCCAATCATTATTATTTAACATTACTGTAAAGTTGCACCAATACAATTAAAATTAAATAAGCCATGGAGGTACGCATTTGCAATCCTAGCACCCAGGGAGGCTAAGGTGGGAGGATGGAGAATTCAAGGCTATCTGGGGCAAGATAGTGAGTTTGAGGCCAGCCTAGGTTACACAGGAAGACCATGTCTCCAAAATCCACATGCCCACAAAGCACAAATGCTATGAATGAAATAAAATGATCACTTATTTACAGATGATCTAAGCCCCCAAGGACAGAATAAAAACTTTTAAAAAGAGAATATGACATCTGGTTTCTTAAAAAATGATACCCAATTTTTAAAAAAATGTTATTTTCTTGACTAAGACAAATTCACTCTAACATTTTAATACAGAAATGTGTATTTACCATATAAATATTAAATAATGGTTCCCAGCACCAATGTCTGGTGACTCACAACTACTGTAACTCCAGAGGAATCTGACATCTCTGGCACTCACATGCACACACACACACATAATTGAAAATGAATAAACTGCCAGGTGGGATATGCCTTTAACCCTAGACTGGCATGTCGTTGTGGTTTTTAAAAAGTCACAAATATGGCCAGGTGTAGTAGTACACACTTTTAATCCCAGCACTTGAGAGGCAGGTAGCTCTCTGTGAGTTCAAGGCCACTCTGGTCTACATAGCAAATTTCAGGCCAGCCAAGGCTACCTAGTAAGACCCTGTCTCAAAAACAAACAAATAAAAACCTACAATGATAAAATATCAGTTTGTTGATACACAATTTTGATAAAGGATATTATGCATATAAATGCAGTGCTCTCCTTTGGTACAATATCCCTGTAAATAAAATTTGCAGATCTCCTTTTTCTTCTCCAACTCTGCATCATGATCAAATTTACAATGATCTCCCTGTTTAAAGAAAAATAACGTAGAAACAATGAAATAACTGAATTGTATTTTCTCCATGGTACTTCATGATGAAATTACAGTCATTATCTTTAGTCTTTCTATAATGAGCTAATAGTGATGCAAATAACGCTTCTGAAGTCCTGCCTAGGTGGTGGCTGTGGATTCATGCAGAACGAGCAGAGCCTCAGGGTTCTGCCCATGCCCCACCAGCACTCACCATCTCTAGCTGAGCTACCATGGGAACTTATTTAACCTCTTGTTGTCATGCATAAAATAGGAATCACAGAAATAACTACTTAGTAGCGTAGCTGTAAAGAATAAGTCACTGCATATTAGTTATACTATGAATAGTATCTGCCTCACTGTCAGTATCTATCACAAATGTTAACACTTTTGGTAAGTAAAATCTGATTTCTATAAATGATGTTATTGTCCCAGAATATAATTAAATAAGCTGCAATATACAGTAATTTCATGCAAGGTACATTTAAGAGACCTAGCTCTATTACAGCTCTATGAAAAAATGAAAGAAATTAACCACTCCCCAAAAGAAAGAACTAAATTCTAAAGATTACTTTCGAAGTAAGAATAATTTATTATATCCTTTAACATTTACCTTAATACACCTCCCTTCCAGGAAGTATTTACAGATTTGTTTTCCTTTGTGTTCCACTGTGTGTTGGTTAATAAACTCCTGAGTCATAACTTTCCACTTTTTTCCTGGTTTACTGTACTGTAAGAAAAAATTCACTTGAATGTAAATATTAATAGGTATTAAAACATAGTCAAGGCCAGGCGTGGTGGCACATACCCACTTGGGAGGCAGAGGCAGATGAATCTCTGTGAGATCAAGGCCAGCCTGGTCTACATAATGAGTTCCAGGTCAGCTGTGGCTACAGGGAGACCCTGTCTCTAAAAGACAAAAACAAAACAAAACAAACAAAAATTATTAAAAGGGTCTGAAAACAGTACAAATTGATTATTAGACACTGTGATACTATTCATTTAATTGGATAGACATATGCTTCAAGTAATCTTATTACTAGTAGTGATTACAAGGGAGCCTGCTTTCTTCTAAAGAGATTATGTAACTACATTAAAAAATAAAAGTTGGGCCAGAGAGAAGGTTCAGCAGCTAAGAACACTTGCTGCTTTTGCAGAGGACCCAGGTTCAGTTCCCATAACCACATTAGCAGGCCCACAACTGCCTGTAACTCCAGTTCCAAAGGATCTGACACTTTCTCATGACCTCCATGGGTACTGGCACACACATGGTGCACATACACACACTCAGATACACACATATACACATAAAATAAAAATAAACCTTTAAACAATAAAAACAAATAAAAAAACTATTAAAGGCTTGAAGCCAGGTGTGATGGTATACGCCTTTAATCCCAGCACTTGGGAGGCAGCAGCAGGTGGATCTCTGTGATTTAAGGCCAGCCTGGTCTCCATAGCGAGTTCCAGGCCATGCAGAATTACATAGTGAGCCCTTACTTTTTTTTAAAAAAGGTTTCAACTCTTTTTTTGGCAAAGGAGTTATAAAATATATACCCCCACACACTCTGATAGATCTGGGCAGCTTTAAAATATCCACACTGATGCCAGGCTGTAGCTCAGTGTCTCAGTGCTCACCTAGCACTGCATAGGGTCCTAGATTTGATCCCCATCACCACAAAAATAAACAAACTGTTAAACACAGAGCTTACACTTTCCAAAATTATTCTGAAGAAATTCTCAGGAAAGCACATAAACATTTGTTCATAACAATATACTTAAAACTAGAAATGCTAACCACATAGACAACCAGAAAATATGATACATTAAGGTAGAATATTATACACACATAATAAAATAATGTGACAGAAAAACAACTTTAGGA